TCGGTTAAGCGTCTGACTCTTGATTTTGGCTCAGGTCATGATCTGGTTAAGTTCAAGCCCCGTGTTGGGCTCTGCACTCATGGTGCCCGCTGACAGTGTGGGGCCTCCTTGGGATTATCTCTGTCTGCCCCCCCGCCAACCCGTGCGAGCACGTGTGTGCTCTCTCTCTCTCAAAATAAATAAAACTTAAAAAAGAAATGTAAACGAAGGGAAGACATTATTCATCCATTTTACAGATGAAGAAACTGAGGCCCAAAAGAGTGATAAGCTTAAGGTCACAGGGCTAGGGAGTGGCAGAGCCAGAATTCCAACCCAGATCTGACTCCACACCCCAAGGAGGGCATTTGTAATTATGGAAACAATGGTACCGACGGCTTTAACACTTCTCATTTATTAACGGATGCCCGCCTGACCACGCCTTAGCACTTTGCACATACGTGGTCATTAGTCCTCACCACCACCCTCGTTTCAGAGGAGGGGCCCGAGGCTCAGGGAGAAGCTGTGGCATGCCTAAGCCATACAGCTAGAAAGTGGGGAGCTAGAATCAAATCCGGGTCCCTCCAACTCCAGGGAGGAGGGAAAGGGGTTCCAATGGGCTTACTGTCAATATGAATCTACTGAAAATTTACGTGAGACGCCACTTCCTTCAGAACTGGACCAAGCTTAGCGATCACCTAGATCCTGGATGGGGAAACTGAGGCCCGGAAAGGGACTTTCCCCAGTCCTGCAGTGTAAGTGCTGGAACAGGGTTTGCTCCCAGCCCATGTCACTTGTGAGCCAGGCTCCTTACCGCACCATCCCTGGACCTGCCGTCTCGCTCTCATTCCACCTCCTTCCTCCTCCTTCCTTGGCCCTCTGGACGCCACGGTGTGCAGCCCCTTCTCTTTGCTCTCCATCTGCACCCTTTCCTGCCACAGGTGTGGATCGAAGCTGCTCTTCAGATCTTCTACTCCCTGGGTGTGGGCTTCGGGGGTCTCCTCACTTTTGCCTCCTACAACACGTTTCACCAGAACATCTATAGGTCAGTGCAGCCTCAGAGCCCTCGAGGCCAGAGCAGGGAGGAGAGTGGCTGGCCAGGGCGGGCCTCCTGGGGTGAGGGCGGGGCCCGCTCACTCTGGCCTGGACTTCTGTGCCCGGACCTCTCCCGGCAGAGACACCTTCATCGTCACTCTGGGCAACGCCATCACCAGCATCCTGGCTGGCTTCGCCATCTTCTCCGTGCTGGGCTACATGTCTCAGGAGCTGGGTGTGCCTGTGGACCAAGTGGCCAAAGCAGGTGGGCAGGCCGGCCAGCCCTGGTGGGTGAGGGGGTGGGGCGGGGGAGGGGGGCACCGCTCTGGCTGGGGCTGGGCCAGGGAGCACAGCGCAGACCGGCAAGGTCGCGGATGGATTTGTCCAGTGCGTGTGTGGGTTTGCGCGCACACGAACGCGTGTGTCTTTGCCGGTCTCTGGGTGTCCGAGTGCAAAGGGGGTGTGCGTCAACCTGAGTCCGGAGATAAATGGATTTCTGTGCGAGAGTGTCTTATGTTTGATCACGTCTTAGTAACTTGCCTTGTTTGTCCAAGTGAGTCATTTCCTATGTCAAGAGGTCTGTGTGCACGTGAACTGAGGGTTCAAATGAGGATGTGAATCAGTGTCTGGTGCCAGTGGACGTGTCTAAGTGTGTGTGTTAGTGGGACTGTTTGTGTCAGTGATGGTATACGTAAGTGTATGCAAGTGAGGTTTTATGTTGGGTCTTGGGTTTATTCATGTACTCATTTTTTTTTTTTATTTTAGAGAGAGAGCGGGGGAGAGGGAGAGAGGGAGAGAGAGAGAGAGAAGAGAATCTTAAGCAGGCTCCATCGTCAGCATGGAGCTCGGTGTGGGACTCGATCCCACGACCCTGGGATCCTGACCTGAGCCAAAATCAAGAGTCGGATGACCAACCGACTGAGCCACCGAGGCACCTCTCACACACTCATTGTTAATCCATTTATTTTATCAATCTATGTTTCTTGAGCACCAACAATGCACCGGCCTGCGTCCTAGGAGTTAAGTGTTAGAGGTGTGCAGATAGCGTGCGTCTCTGGGCTTGGCTGAACTAGTATGGCCCGGTGGATGTAAGCGACCGCGTGTGTTTGAGTGTGCATGTGGGGGGCCTGCCCCGTGCCCCAGGCTGCTGACTCTTTGTGCCCTTGGCCCAGGCCCCGGCCTGGCCTTTGTCGTCTACCCACAGGCCATGACCATGCTGCCTCTGTCGCCCTTCTGGTCCTTCCTTTTCTTCTTCATGCTCCTGACTCTTGGCTTGGATAGCCAGGTGAGCCTCGTGTGTGCCAGCGGGCCCCCTGTGGTGTGTGTTTGTGTCTGTGAGGTGTGTGCGTCTGTGTGTGTCCATGTGTGATGTGTGTCTTTGTGTGAGATGTGCGACTGTGTGTGTGTGCGTCTGTGTGTGCTGTGTCTATGCGTGATGTATCCGTGTGATGTGTCTGTGTGTACCTCTGGGGGTGTCTGTGCACGTGTGCTGTGAGGGGGGCAGAATTCTGACCCTCCTCCCCCCGCCCCCCAGTTTGCCTTCCTGGAGACCATTGTGACAGCTGTGACAGACGAGTTCCCGTATTACCTGCGGCCCAAGAAGGCTGTGTTCTCGGGGCTCATCTGCGTGGCCATGTACCTGATGGGGCTGGTCCTCACCACCGACGTGAGTGGTGCTTCGGGGTGGGTGGGCAGCTGGTGGGTGAGGCAGGGGCAGGCGCCCGCAGCAATGTCTGTGATCGTTCCCTGGGCTACCGGCTTGTTCCCGTTCGGGAGGAAGCTGGCCCACCCCAGGCACTCTCCCCGAGGGCAGCTCGGTCTGGGACCCAGAGTCCTGGCTTGGAAGTATAAAAGACCTGGCCTCCAGCCTGGTTCCTGCTCTGGCTGAATGACCCCAAGACAAGTGGCTTCCCCTCCCAGAGCCTGTTTTCCCACCAATAAGATGGGGGTCTACGTCTAGGATTGTTGTGAGACTCAGATAGGATGGTGTGTGTAAAGGGCTTGGCAGGTAGACGGCCGTCCCACTGTTACCGTCTTGCTGTCACCGCTGGCCTGGCTGCTTCCTGCCCACCTCCTGCCTGGAGAAGGGGTCGCAGCAGGGAGCAAGACCGGGGTGAGGGAACCCCAGAGCTGTGACTTGTGTTCCAGGGGGGCATGTACTGGCTGGTGCTTCTGGACGACTACAGCGCCAGCTTCGGGCTAATGGTGGTGGTGATCACCACGTGCCTCGCCGTCACCCGGGTGTATGGTGAGAGGGGCCACGGGAGGCGGCGTTGAGGCTCCCCACCTTGGGAGGGTGGGAGTCTACTCTGGAGCCCGCCTGCGCTGGGTCCCCGGTCCCAAGGGCCAGGGTCTCCAGTCGGGGCAGTTGGGGTGGAGGAGGGGCTGCTGGTGGGGCCATTCTCCTCCCCTCCCCCGTGCAGGCATCCAGAGGTTCTGCCGGGACATCCACATGATGCTGGGCTTCAAGCCGGGCCTGTACTTCAGGGCCTGCTGGCTGTTCCTGTCCCCGGCCACGCTTCTGGTAATGGGTGGGAAAGAAGGCTGCTGGCTGGGGCCCCGGGGCTGAGAGTAGGGCCCCGCCCTGGGCACTCAGGCTGGTAGGGCTGCCCTGGCCCTGGAGTGGGCCTCTGTCAGGGCTGAGGGGTGGGTGGGCACCAGGATCTTGGTCTACTCCCGTCCCCTTGATGTCCCCAGCTGTTGTAGCCGGGCTGGCCCTAGCCCTGCATTTGGTTGGCAAAACGAGTGGGGCATTCTCAGGCCTCGGGGCCTTAGGGCGGGGGCTTTGAGGCTCGTGTGTTTGCTTGTGTCTGTGCTTTCTTGGCCTTGGAATTGAAGCAGTTCAGGCACGGGCTGTCTCAGGAATTGGGTGCTTCAGAGCTGGGCTGTCTCAGGCCTTGCAAAGGCTCCGAGGATGGACCATCTTAGGTTCTGCACAGCTAAGGTTATCTCCGACACTGGGTGGCTCTGAGCTGGGCTCCCTCAGGCCTTCGGGTAGTTCAGACCTGGGCTACCCCAAGCCCTGGGGCCTGTGCAAAGCCCACTGTGATGCTGGGGCCCCCGCCTGCAGGCCCTGCTGGTATACAGCATCGTCAAGTACCAGCCCTCAGAGTACGGCAGCTACAGATTCCCAGCCTGGGCAGAGCTGCTGGGCATCCTGATGGGCCTGCTGTCCTGCCTCATGATCCCAGCCGGCATGCTGGTGGCCGTGCTCCGGGAGGAGGGCTCGCTCTGGGAGGTAAGTCTGCCCTTGGTCTTCCCGACCTGTGGCCTGGCCCCGGGCCCACCTGCTGGAACAGAACACATCTGCACCAGCACCTTATCCAGGGCCTTGCAGGCTTTTCCAGCCAATAGCCTGAGCTATGAATCCTGCTTGGGGTAAGGCAGTCTCAAGGGGCTTCGGGTCCTGCCCTGTGGCCCCCGGGGCCACGCGAGGCCTCTGAGGGGGAGCACACTCCAGAGACCACCGATGTTGGCCAGTGTCCACGGGTGTTGGGGAGAGGACAAGGGAATGGCCCAGGGTCCCACTGTGAGTCGGCAGAGGTCAGGACCCAGACTCCGGTCACCAGCCCAAAGCTTCCCTATGAAACTCAAAGTCAGAAGACAACACTGAGGGACCCCAGAGGGTGGACTGTCACTCTTCTCCCTGCTGCAGCCCACGGGTGGCCTGAGAACGGGCTGATGGTGGGAGCCCTGCCCACGCCAGGCTTTGTGAAGAGATCTAGAAAGCACAGAGAATGCAAGCTGTCTGGGCACGGGGATCTGCAGGCCTCAGAAGAGCGGAGTGGGCCAGTGGGTGTGCTGTGATGCTGTGTGACCACTGCAATGTTCTGCCCCTCTCTGAGCCTCGTCACACTCTCGGGACTTCTGACGCCATGGGTGTGGAGTCCTCTGGGGGCAAGAGGCTGTCATAGTGAGCAGAGCTGAGGGAGGCTACTAGGGCCTGGGAAGAGCCTACGGACCCCCAAACAGAGCCAGCTAGTGCTGGTTCATAAGAGCTAATTGTTAAATACTCAGGGATATTGTGAGCCAGTTGTTAAACCATCGATAACTTGAAACTGACCTTGGTGGGGATATTTACACCACCGGAACTGGTGACAAATCGAGCCTCCTGTGCCCCTCCATACACCACCCCCAGCCTGCTCGCCAGCTTCCTACTTCTCCCACCTCCCATAGAGCTCCACTGCACCTCAGCTGTCCCCCACCCCACCTTCATATCTCCACCTAGAGAGAGGCTCAGAGCCCTCCCCCTGCAGAAATCACTGCACCACCCAGACGACAGGCTAGTCCTGGAGTCCAGCCACCACTCTGTCTCCAACTGCTGTGTGACTAGGAGCAAATGCCTTGCCTTCTCTGAACCTCGGGAGCCCCACCTGTACCTCTAAAGGAAACCTGTCTCCTTTCATGACAGCCAGGGTGTCCGCAAAGGAAAGGAGGAGACAGCCAGGTGGCGGGGCCATGTTGTTGTGGGGTCAGCACTGCAGAGGACTTGCCCAGGTCCGGAGTGCCACCTTCAGAAACCAGGGCTTCTAGCACTGACACACTAGGAGGAATCCTAGGTCTGCCTTTTGCCAGCTGCATGACCCTAAGCAAGTTAACACACCTCTCTGAACCTTGCTTTCTCTCTCCTTAAAGTGAGGACAGTGACACCTACCCATAAGGGTTGCTGTGAGAAGAAAAGAGGCTCGTCAGCATCTTCAGAACTGTGAGGGGCAGAAAAGCAGAGTATTCTAAAAGTTTAGGATGGAATCAGACTGCCTGGGTTCAAACCCCAGGATGACCACTGTGTGAGCTTGGCCAAGGTGACCGACCTTGCTGAACTTTACCTCCAGATAGTATCTGTGGGCGTAGAGGATGAAAGTCATAATGCCCCTTTCCCAGGGACTCTGTAAGGACTGAAGAAGCCCACATTTAGCATAAGGCTGGAACATGGTGAATGTTTTGTTCCCCACCAGGGATTCTCACGGGGGCGATTTTGCCCTCAGAAGCCATTTGGTAATGTCTGGAGGCACTTTGATTGTCGTAAGAGTACAGTGTGCACAGGGGATGCTCCCGGGATCCAGTGGGGAGAGGGCAGGGATCTGCTAACCATCCTCAGTGTGCAGAACAGCCCTTACGCAGGGACTCTCCAGGCCGAGACGTCCACAGTTCTCAGGTCAGGAAGTCTTGATCTAGGCACTAGTGTGCAGCTGGGAACAGACCTAAGTCCTTGCTCTCAGGGAGCTTGTATTTTAATGTGGGAGACAGACAATAAACAAACAAATACATAAAGGTAGTGGCAAGTACTATACTTAAAAAAAAACCAACAACACAGAAACAAAAACAAAAAACAAACCCTAAGTTTAGGAATAGAGAATGATGGAAGGTGGTATTTTGGCCAGGGTGTCTGGGAAGACCTCCCAGGCGGGTGGGGGTGTGTGTGGGGACAGACCCCTGACCAAATCGACAAGGTGATCTATCTAGCTTTGGAAGGGGAGAGCATTCCAGGCAGAAGGACAGTCGGTGCAAAGGCCCTGAGGCAGGAGGGGCTGGCATGTTTGAGGGCAGCAAGGGGGTCGGCGAGACTGGATCAGAGCAGGTGAGGGCAGAAGGAGAGTGGTCGGAGCTGAGGTCAGGGAGGCAGGCAGGGGCCAGGACGTGGAGGCCGTGGTGAGCACTTTGGATTCCATTCTAAGTAAGATGATAAGCCCCTGGCAAGTTTCTGAGCAGTGGGGTGACGTGCTCTACAACAGTTAAGTGTCACCATGCTTTGAGTATGGAGCCATGCTAGGCCGCGGGCTAAGGGCACTGCACACGTTATCCTCCTTGAATCTGCACCCAGCAAGGCTCCACTTGATGTTGGTTGTCCGTCTGCCTTCAAGGGTCTGGGGCTCTTCTCCCTGCAGCTCAGGCAGAAGGCTTTTGGGAATGTAGTTGGAAAAGGGAGGAACCCTGGAACGTCCAGACTTAGTCATTGTCTTAGTCACCTCCCTCCTCCCATGGAAACTGGGGCTTGAGAGGGAAAGGTCAGACATCAGAGTCAGAGCGAGGCCAAATGTTAGACACTTGGAAGGTCAGCGACAGTCCTGTCTCAGTTCTCCTGCTTCCTGGCTCTTTCCCAAACTGCCCAGCTCCTTAGGACTCAGCATTTGTAGGGGAAGGCACCCAGAGTGGGCTCCTGCATTGCAGTCACAGCAGACACCATTTACTGGGCCTTGCCCTGTTCCCGGCACCCTGCTAAGTGCTGCATCTCAGGGCCTGCCCGTGAGGGCATCATGATCCCCCAGCTACAGAGGAGGAAACAGAGCATGGAAAGCTTAAATTCCATGCCCAAAGGCCACCCAGCTCGTGACAGCAGAGCAGGACTCTCATCCAGGCGTGTGGCTCACTCCCCTGGGGAAGGTGCTACCGCCCGGGCCCCCTGCGATTCTTGCGCGGACTGATCCAGGTGCCGTGGTGAGGTCTCTGCCCGGTGCCCGGCCCCAGGAAGCACTGCACCACGAGCGCCGGCCGTTTTCACCGCTCTCCTTGCTCTGCTGCAGCGGCTCCAGCAGGCCAGCCGACCGACCATGGACTGGGGCCCATCGCTGGAGGAGAACCGGACTGGCATGTACGTGGCCACGCTCGTGGGGAGCCAGTCACCCAAGCCACTGATGGTGCACATGCGCAAGTACGGGGGCATCACCAGCTTCGAGAACACTGCCATCGAGGTGGACCGCGAGATCGCTGAGGAGGAGGAGTCTATGATGTGAGACAGGAGGCAGGCGGACAGCCTGCCCGGCCGCAAAGGGTAGCTGTGCCCTCTGGGGCTCTGAGAGGCCCCGAGGCCGTGGGAGGTTGCCCCGGGTGATGCCGGTCCCCCGTGCAAGTCCTTTCTTGTGGCCTCTGCCTCTCCTCCGTCTACCTTCTCCGCGCGTGCACACAAACCCACTCAGAGCTCAGCCCTCATTTCGCAGATGGATGAACTGAGGCCAGGGAGGAGGGACTTGCCCAAGGTCACATGGCGGAGGGGACTGGACGCCAGGCCTGCTGGCCAACCTGCTCCCTTTCTCATGTGGCAGGTGGGAGCATCTTCTCATCTCCGTTCAGGGCCCAGACTCCTCTCTTTTCTAAGGGAGGCTCCCCATACACTTCGAACAGCCAGAATCCGAGCTGGGCAGGGACGCCCAGGGCATGGCAAGGCCCACGAGGCCCCAGGCATCAAGGGTTAGCAAGTCAGGTGGGAGAAGGACCCCTGAGGACTCATGTGCCCACCAGGTTTCCTGAAGGAGGTGGGGCCTGAAGGCCCTGGAGGATGGGGCAAGTTGGGAGGGAGAGAGGAAGAGGAGGGCAGGGGATGGAGGCCCCCGTGTAACCCCCGTGCCTCCCCTGGAGCCCCGGGCAGACACCAAAGTGTTCCCAGGTTACAGCAGGGTCCAGGTGGGAATGACGAATGAGGGGGAGGGGGAGGAGGGACGTGGGGTGGGCAGGGGTTTGCATGATCTGGGTGTGCTTTCGATAGAATATCTTTCAGGGTCAGCGTGCAGGGTGGCTTCGAGGGGACAGGGCGGAGGAAGCAGGCCTGTGGAGGGCAGGCAAGAGGGGCGGTGGCCTGAGTGAAGGGGTGGGGTGGGGAAAGGAGGAGGACCCCACGCTCCCCTCCCCCCCAGAAAAGGGCCGGCAGCCTCCCACACTGGACCCCCGCCCTCTGGTGTAGGGAGCCCTGGGCATGATTAGGACAGAGGACACAAGTGGACAGGTGGGAGTGAGGGGTCCTAGTCAGGACCCAAAGCCCCTGCATTCCCTTCTCCCTGCCCTGGCGGCCCTCACTGTCTCCTCCAGCTCCGGGCACTGCTGGGAAGTTGGCCTTGGCTGTGGACGACCAAGGCAACTAAGAGGCTTGGAGATGGTCCGCACACGTGGCTGTCTGGTCCTGATGCCACCCGCCCCTGCTCCGGGTCGCGGGTCCCCGGGGCCCAGGCATGGGGGGTGGAGCCAGCGAGCCCAGGGCAGCCGACTCCTCAGCCCCGTGGCCAGAGGCCTTGGCATCTTCAGTCCCCGGCACAGGAGGGGCTGTCCTGGGGCCCCCACTCGCCCCCGAGAGATGAGGGTGGGGTGTGCGAATGCCTGAGTAGAGCTTCTGCCCACAGGGTGCTCCCCAGCGGGGCGGAGCACCCTCGTGCAGCGGGCCGGCCTCTGTGCCCTTTCTCCTGCTGTCTCCCCAGCCCATCCATGTTTCGTCCGTTTGTTGTCAATAAACACCAACGAGCTCATCCTTCTCACCCCTTCTCCTTACCGCTGAGAACCATGAGGTGGGCAGCCCAGGGCTCTCCGGCTCCCGTTGGATGGCCGAGGGAACCGAGGCTCAGCTGTTTGCTTCACCAGGTCCCCCGGCTTCTGACACTTGCTCTGCCATTGTGCTATGGCCGTGGTGGGTGGGTGGGCTGAGGAAGGGTGGTGAAGAGGAGGAAGCCCTTGAAGACAGCTTTGCCCCCCTTGTACATCTGGGCAAACTGAGGCCCACCGAAGGGGAAGACTTGCTCGAGACTACCCAGCCGAGGCAGGAGGCCGTCCCCTTTCCCCCTCCAGCTGCTTCCCAGCCTTACCCGCAGGTGCAGCTGGGGCTAGAAGACCAGGGTTGGGAGGGGCCCAGAGTTTCCCAGGCTGGTGCGACCCACCCCCTCCTGGCAGGACGTTGCCACATAAAAGAGTCCCAGGGCCTTTCAAATGCGAAGCCCAGGTGTTTGCAAAGGCTTTGACTGGGGGTGGGAGAAAAGGCCGCTGCCTATTTTGGATATTAATAAATTTCCCCTAACAAAGAGCCAGGCCCCCTCCTGCCCCTCTTTGGGGCCGTAGGTGGAGGAAGAGTGATGGGTTTGCTAATTTGCTGAGGGCACAAGAATGGCCTTCACAGTTCAAGGTGCCTCTTCCCACACTCTTGGGGGCAGGCTCCAGTCTTGCTAACAGAGGCCCCTGGTGCCAGCACAGTGGCCCCAGCCCAGGAGAGGGCACTCTCCAGGCCCCCCAGCTCTCTCTAGGACAGACCCCAGGCCCCGGGCCAAGGTCCTGTGAGTACTCCTTGCCCAGCCTCTTGGGTGCAGCCTGGGGTCCTGGGAGTCCAGAATAGGCGATCCTAGAAGTCTAGGTTTCTCTTCTCCCAGATTCCCAGTCTGGATTTGGAGAATTCCAGGAGTTTGTGCAGCCCACCAGTTTCACTTCCAGTCCCTCCAGGACTCACTTCCCCTTGCTCCTGGGCCTGCGGTTCCTGGTCTGCCCTCCCTGGTCCCATCTTCCAGTCTGTCCCGCTTTTCCCATTTCCGCTGCCACCAGACAGGCTGTCCTGCCACATCACCCTTCTCCCACCTCTGCCGCCAGCGCCAACCCCCAAACGCCCCCAGACCCAACCCCCCAAGTGCCCCCAGCCCCATTCCTTCGTTGACTTCAGATCTCCCTGGCTCAGAACAGACCCCAGCCGGGCCCGGCTGCAGTGGGAACTGACTGGGGACCAGGAACACCTGGCTGGAGGGGTCCGTGGCGACGTAGTGGGCAGCTCAAGGAAGACGTCAGCTCCAACTGGAGTAGAACCCCAGCCTGGAATCCCAGAACGCCCTAGCAGGTGACAATCCAGTGCCTGCAGAGCCCGGCAGGCAGGGAAGCGGGGTGCGGGATCGTGCTTTGCAGAGGCTGGTCAGTGGTGGGGACCGTGGGGCACTAGAGAACAAAGCGTGCCTGTCTTCGGGGGAGGCTGACCCTCAGAAGTAGGGGCCCAGGTTGCTGGATACCCTGGCTTTTCAAGACAAGCTGGGAGTGAGGATTTTTGTGAGAAGCTTCCCATTTTTGAACATGAGCAACTGATGGGAAGCAAGTGACACAGCGTGGCTCCGTTAGGGTGGCTGGCAGGCCCACTGCTCTGCAGAGGCAGGGGGTAGTAGGGCTGTGTCCTGTGGTGAGAACGTGGCGGAGCGGAGGCCGGAACCAGGGCCCCCCCTCTACTCAGTGTTCTGCTCCCCTTCTCAGCTGACCTCTGTGTGCATGGACCCCTGACCCGGGGAGGCCAGTGGGGGGCCCTGGGAGGCAGCATATGTGCCTGGCTCAGGTGTGCTGAGGGTGCCCTGGGGCCCCTCATTGCTGTTCTAGGAATGTTCTAGAACTCATCAGAGACGGTGTTCTCTTGGCGGGCACTGGGAAGCGCTAAGATGGTGCGCTGACCACCTGCAGTCACTTCCAGTTCCAGCCTGTGATCTGCAAGAGCAAATATCTGGGAGGCCCAAGGGGGAGAGGGAAGCGGGAGGGGGCCCCGTTAGGGTCAGCCATATTACCAAAGTCAAGTGAGGGTCAACAACCGACACGGGGGCACACCGGGTACCTTGTGTTTGGTTCCCAGGAGGCCCTGCCCCCTGTGCTCCCTTCTACCACCCCAGCCAAGTTCACCTCGCATGGTGCCCTGAGCCAGCCCAAGCTTCCTCATCCAGAGTCCTCCCCATTCATCCATGGGACCCCTATCCATTCTCTTAGGTCTGTCCTCCACATACCCTCCATCCTCCACCAGGCGTGGGCTCCTCGCATCCTCAGGGAGCCTGGCTCAGCCCTACACCTGGCGCGAGCCACGACAGCCAGCCTGGCTTGCATGGGGTGCTCACGGCCTCCGGAGACAACCCACTTCATTTCTGTGCAGTTAAGACACGTGCAGCACTCTCCCTGGGGCCCAGGGCACCTGGGACTGGGGTAGGGCATCGTGGTGGGGGGCTTGTCACCTGGTGCAATCCCAGCTCTGCCCCTCCCTGGCTGTATGGCCGTCAGGGACCCATAGCATCAGGTCACCACTTTGCACATTGCGGCAGCAACTGAAAGCAGTTTGTTGGTAGCTCTAGGGACAGCCAGCGAAGAGTTAAGACAGTCCCAGCCCCTCTGAATTTCACGTGACCCTGGCTTGCTGAGCCTACAGTTCTGGTTCTGCGGTGGACACTCTTCTCCAGACTCATTTTTTGCTGGTGGCTCATGGAAAATTTGGCTCCTTGAGCTCCAGGCCACTCCCTCTGGGCCCTGAGGCCTCACTGACGCTGGTCCTGCCCTGGAAGGGCGTCTAGGGCCGCCTGCCTGCCCTCGGATCCTTGGCCAGCACCCCCTCCCTCGCCCCCCCTCACCCCTCTGTCTCCGCCTGACTTCCTGCTGCCTGACCTTTTCCCCCAGGACAGAACGGCAGCCCGCCCCCCTTGGCCACGCCGAGGCCTCCTCCCGGCACCCCATCCCGGATTGCTTTCTACTGGAGGGAAAGAAAGCCGCTTCCCACTGACAGCCACCGCATCTGTGAGCAGCATCCCTTCCAGAACTGTAGTCAGCAGGAGCCAAGGCAGGCTCGGACTCTGCCAGTCGGAGCCCAGTCTTGACTCAGCTGTCCACTGGCTGGACGACTCAACTGGGTCTGCTGCTTCATTGCCCTGACCCCCAGTGTCCTGACCCTCAGATGGAAGATGGGAACAATGGCTTTCCCTCTGCAGGGAATTACATGGGATAATATAGGTGCTCAGTGCATAGTTTTTAAAAAGCGATCAGTGCTTAGTGCAAACCGTGGCAGGCAGAAGGCCTGCAGGTGGGATGGTTCTCATGAGCCTGCTGTCCCTATTTCAGATAAAGAAACTGAGGCCCAGCTCCCGCCTCCAACCAACAGAGGGAGAAGGAGGGTGGGGATTGGTGTGCTTGGAGCCAGGGTCCAGGCAATGGTGGAAGCCTCAGGGCGAGCTGGCATCCTCCAGTTCCATGGCAAGGGGCCTGG